ATGAAAGATATTGGGATTCTGAAATTAAAGAATCTAGAGCAAAACGCAGATGCACCTCGGCATGATTGACATGTATTAAGACATTCAGCTAATGTACTATGTTTTCATTCTCTCATCCAATAGATTTAAAACTGAATGAACATTCCGAAATGTTCTATAGTGGGGAACCAGTTGTACTGCCTCATTTAAAAAGTAAATATTGGTATTTTTGGATCTTACATGTATTTGAGGCTGGAAGGACTACTTGAAACAAGCATAAATGCACAAGCAACATGAGCAGATGTAGTTAAGTAACATGCTTTAATTAGTAACTTTTGTTCCACAAACTCCTATCAGAAGTAACTCTTGATCATTTCACTACTTGTTGAAGAAATCCACAAACAAATTGCACACTGAAGATGTTTATTCTGTTACTCATCCTTCCATCGGTTTGGTACAGCTGAAAGTTACAAATGTAAAGCTTGCGACTCGAACAAATATTGAATTACAAAAAAAACAATACAAATGAGCGACCACTTACATATTTTTGGGNTAAGAGCACATGGTCGCAGAAATCACGTGACCCGCCCAAGGGGGGTACAGAGGGGCACGGTAAGGCAAACTGTCTCTAACACTACTCTTCTGTGTCTGTTGCTCAAAATGACACTTGTGTCATGAAAATCAGCTGCAAGCTACAATTGCATTATGCTAACATGGTGGCCTACCAAACAAAAAAGAAAGTCTCTCCTGGTAGGCTCTGCTGGAAAGCTTGAACTCTCCATTGTCCTGTCTTACATATTTCTTTGGAGACCAAGAAACAAAAAAGCACATTTAAGAGGAAAACAAACTTTGTGCCCCTCACCAAAAGAGTTAAGATATTGGTCCCAGTTTTTGGGAAAATGCTGTCTTTTGAAGTCTTCTTCCTGTAGGTAAAGCCACCCCTTTTTAAACTCTCCTTTGTTCTCAAACAAATATTTGTGACCTCGCACAACCCCAATTTAGCACCCAGAAAGAAAAAGCACCTTTGTAGAAATTCACTTCTTGGAAAAAAAAATCACATCTGCTGACACTAATAATGTGAGACTTGATTCCCAACTGGATCAAGCACGGAAACCCAGAAAGCACGAGGGCTACATTTGATACTACATTATCTTTACATTGTAATTAGGAACATCAATCATGCCTCGTTCGAAAAAGTATGTATAGTATTTTAAAAAGATCGAATTTTTATCTCACCTGCAACTCTAATCATCGTTGCTGCCATCATCATTACTTCACTCCCATTGGTTCTGCTGTACCCTTTGACAACTTTAGTAATTTTTTTAGTTGGAACGATACTCGTCAATCCGATATAAAGTAAAATAACCCATACTTGGGTACTCTTTGTAAATTTCTTAGAGACATTTGATTGCAAATGACTACAGTAACAATGATAGACACATGAAAGCACAGGTGAAATAAAGTTGGTAAGTTATGTGTAGATTGCAAGACCTTTTTATATGTTGTTGTCAAC